GAGGCAATGTTGATTAAGCTAATTCCTCTGTGGTTTTCACAAGAGGACCTGTCGCCCTTCTTGTAAATAGGTATGACCACCGATTTACAGCATTCAGTTGGAACCTGTTCCTTTTCCCACACTGAACCCAGGGGTTTTGTTAACTCCAAAACCAAGGTTGAACCTCCATCCTTAAAAACCGATGGAGACATCCTGTCGAACTGTGCATACATACCGTTTCAAGCATTCTGACTTGATAAAGGATAACAAGGACGACACTGCTGTCAGTTTGATGTCATATCCTTCAATGTCTCCAACTAACCAGTCACGGAGTCTTTCGAACCCCAACCAGATATTTCAGTTGTCAGTTTTTACAATCATTAACCATCCACTTTCGTGGGCCGATTTTGGTTGCTGTCTTTTGGCGGCTCCTTTGGATAAAACAGGAGAATGAAGATTGGAATGTTGAGAACAGATTTAACGGGAGAATAAAGGTGAATTCATAAAGACTGAGGCTGCAAGAATAATGAGTAGATACAAGAGCGCCACTGTCTGCGACACCCAGCCATATCACTCAGTGTCTCTATCGGTGACTATGATCTAGAGGTTCTTAGCCAGAAAGCCTAACCGGACCTATGTGACCCAGTTTCCTGGTTAGGGTTTTCATACCTTCGTGCTAGGTTCTCGTTGCACCGCCCCTGGCACTTTTCCATCCGCTACTTGCCTCGGCACGCAAGCCATCACATCACGTCAAGTGCAGTACCGTCGTGATGGCCAACCAGATATGACGAGCTCATGGTCTTCTGAAGCCTTGTGAAGAGAATTAACCAAGAATGGACTAGAATATCAAAATATTAAAAACCGCCACGGGACAATTGTAGCTTAGTGACGTGAGAAAAAATGACTCGTTGGTACGAGTCGCTAGTTATGTGGCCTCTTCAAGGGGCTCAATTTTCATACTTTTAGTCGTGAAAAACAGCTAAAACTAAATAAGACTTCTCTAGAACAATATTTAGGATAAATAAAAGTGTACATTGCATTGGTGCATAACGCCAAGTTAGCACAATTAAATAAATTTTTACCCAAATGTCACTTGCACCTGTCCAGCAAAAAGAGTATAAAAGATTATGACCAATGAAGAGCACGACAAAAATTTCACATCACCTTTCGCTCCAAAGTAATATCAGGCGACTTGGTAGCGCTAATTTGCGCTGAATCCCGTGAAACACGTATTCTATCGAAGGCCGAAAGCACGTCAAAATCCTGCTTCAGACGTGAACATAAATACAGAAAAGAAGGAAGTTCCCGCACACTACGCAATGACTTAGAACAATGACAACCTTACTTTCTTAATTTTAGATCGTTAAACTTCTTCAGGAATACGCCCGATTGTGGGTTTCCTTCACAAAGTATTTCAATGGCACTTTGCGTATTGATCTAAGACAACAGAAAAGAATTAAGCGAAAGGCCTTGACCATTACCTGCGCTGGAGACGAAGGATTAATGCTGTGTTCTAAATTGTCAACGAAGGAGTACATATCAGGGTCAGCCGTCGGGTCAACACTAAAACAAATGTACAATGATCACGAAAGGCATACTTGAACAAATTTGAAAGCGCATTCACATGATAACGGATGGTATTTTTAGCATATTCAGAACCGGCCATCCCACGCCAGAGTAGAGTCTGAAATTTAGGACAATTTCCCTTCAATACAAGCAGAGATTCTATGAAATACGGATTTGACACAAAATGCTGTCCCAAACGTGGTTTTCATCACAAGGTCAGTTCAGGTCAGGTCAGGTCAGGTCAGGTTGCACAGGACTGAATATGGCCACGGCCAA